TCCGGTTTGTCTATCTTAAATTCATCAAGTGAATATGTAGTAAGTTTCTCTTACACATTAAGTAAAAGAGCTAAATCTGGCTCCCCGTAACATAACCCCTGCATCTACTAGATTAAGACACATGCCTTCACCAGGTATCTAGCAGACCAAGAATGCCCTATTCTCTGCCAGGCAGATGCTCACTTCACTCATCACCACTCTGAACACAAAACAGCATCATCTTAATGCTCTTCTGCAATGTAGGCAGCTGGAAGATCCAAAGAAGGCCAGCCGGGGGTGGTAGCAGTGTTTGAGAACTGAATGGCTGAAGTTGGAAAGATAGAAAAGGAGAAAAAGCTAAAACAATAGAATGTGGAAACTAAGGAAAGGAGAGAGGCTTTAAGCAGGGAACTAGAGTTGGGAAACAAGGCTATACCTGGGGAGACAATGAAGAAAAAGTTCAAAAGCAGAAAAAAAGAGGAATGAAGACAGGCTGATATAGGAGATTGAGGTAAGAGAATGCTAGAGTAGAGGACTTAGCACAAAAAGGCAGCCATTAGAATGCTGGAGAATGGAGAGATACTGACTCTGGGAAGGAGAATACAACATTCTCAGCTTCTTCCATACAGAGGGCCCAAACAGTAGCAGAAGGGATCAATTTCAAGATAGAGGGGGCCCTTGGGAAAGGGCTAGGGCAGAGCCAGTTTCCACTACTTTCTCCTCTCTTGCCATCAGCATTATTGCTGCCCCTAGTTTTTATCTTCCAGCTTGAGGGGAAAGGGAGGGAAAAGGGAAACTGTCTAAGAGAAGCCTTTGTCCAGAGCTACTATTGTCCTTGCCCGAAGAGGACTAGCTCAGGTGGGAGGAGAAACAAATAAACCGGCCCACAACCTCCCATCACCAGAGCTCTGCTTTCAGTCTGCCAAGCTGGGGGGATGGGGCATATCCTCAGTTGGGGGGTCAGGAAGAGGTCAGAACCATTCATGGGAGGGGCATGCTTCCCAGAGCTAAGCTCCAGTCTCCTTCTAACCACCTGTCAAGCCCAGCCCCGCTCTGCATACTTGGAAACACAGGCCCAGCCTGAGGCAAAAAGGCCTTCAAGGACTCATAGCCACACGAGGAAGTGAAAGCTTAATTTAACTACTAGCACCTAGCCACCTACTCCAAAAACAGCTGGACAGAAATTGCACATAGCCATAGACACACACACAGCGTGACACATTCCTGTCATACACATCCAAACACTCACTCAGACCTAGACACATAGACATATCCCTCACCACCCTAGATTGTAAATTCTTTAAAGGCAGGGACTAACTGCCTTGGTCATTACTAAATCTCCAGTGCCCGGCATACAGGAGATGTTCAATATATAGATATTAAATGAATGAGCAAACAGACCCATAGACACACCACAAAGAACACAAACACACGAACACCTGCAAACTGCTCAGAAACTATTATAAACCTTGTACAGGACAAACAGGCACTCTGGTGGATATAGCTGGTAAAAGACACCCTTCCCCTCCCTAAATTCTTACATTCCATTCACTTCCTTAGTCTCTCAGGCTGAATAATCCTTAGGAGCCTCGAGAGATAGACATCCCCTAGAGCTGGGGGCTGGGTAGAAATGATGGGGGATGGGACACTCTAGCCTCAAAGTCTTCCCTTCCCCAGAAATAGGACTAGACCAGACAATCTTAGGCACCCTCCACTCCAAGGAGTCTTTGCGAAAACAGGAAAGCCCCCACGCTCTCATCTCCAAATCAGGGAAGGCAGGAGGAATGGGGAAGCTCTCTCCTGTTCCATCCCCCTGCAAGCCTTACAGCTGTAGAAAGTCACCGCCCCCCCTCTTACCTCACCCTGCCCCCAGCCTTTAGTCTGAGAAAGGGAGACACTTCCCTGCAGACCCAGACAGGGACAGACGGCCACTTTGTGATGCAGATGAGGGCCCCAGCACAGAGGACAAAGCTTGGGCCTTGGGGGGAAGGGGCGGGGCTCTTCCTTGCAGACAAAAGCAAGAAGGGAGGGGCGTGAAAAGGACACTCCCCCTCCCCCATCCCCAACCAGCCCCGAGAAGGAAAAGAGCTGAAATGCCTGGCTCAGAGATTCCTTCCCTGCAGTTCTGAGGCCCACATACCTCCCAAAGAGCCAGACTGCCTATTCAAAAGACAAACTCATGGCTAGGTTAGCTGTCCGTAAGCAAAGAGGCCAATGTCTCCGAAAAGAATATATCCACACGTGAGAAGACACAAATTACTAAATTTCCATATGTGTGCTTAACCATTTATGTCACACTGGATGTGATTCAATTCAATTAATAAATATGTACTTTGTGTCAGGGCCTAACTACTAGCTGGTTCCACAGATAAATGAGACACTACCTATCTGTATCCCCGAAGCTACCAGTCCAGTATATATACTTGGAACATGCTCGAGCACAGAAGGCACACTTGGACATAAGCCCAGTGAAACCAGCATCAATATCTTAGTTTTGTGTACTGTGTCCTAAAACTTCCAAGAGAACAGTCTGGGCCTAGAAAGGAGGCAGTTATGGGGTCCTTCCATTCGCACCTTCCAGAATGAATTTCAATTATACCATTTGATGAAGCAAAGCCTGTCCAACCAGGCTACAGCCAACTCCAGATACCAGGCTGTAGTCTCGTCCCTAGAAGCTTATTTCTTATAACAAAGTCAGTTTTTTTCATCACTCCAGACACCACAATTATTTGCAGTCTGGTATGGTGTCAGCTCCTAGCAATCTATCTGGACCTCTGTGACCTACCCCTACTCTACAGTCCACAAGTTGTTGCAAGTAACCTCCAGCCTAGAAAACCAGACTTCCTGGAATGGAGAGGGGCCTGAGGGAAGGAGGAAATAGTTTTCTGAAGTCGGTAGCTCCCCCTACTCTACCTTAAGACCTATACAATCTTAACAGCGTTGTTTTTGCTAGGAGGAAAAAAGTACTATATAGATCACTGAATAGATGATGCGAATGAGTTGGGACGAGATTTCCTTGAGGGTATTAGATATGGTGAAAAAGACAAGATTCTTCCACTAGAAATGAAATTCATGTCCCAAATGTAAATCCTACTACTACCCCCAGATCGAATGGAAGGTGGTGAGATATGACCTAAAAAATTCCCAGGTAAAGACTGCCCCTCCCATCAAAGGATTTAAGACACAGGTGGTGCCACAATCCCACAGCTCATCCTGGGGACTCCAGGCTTCTTGGGGCAGGCAGCCTAGCCTCAGTTTCTCCTGTTTTTATCTCCTTTTTCCTGATTGCCCCCTGTGAATAAAGAAAAATTAAGACTATCACCTGAAACTCACCAGAGTGAAGCAAGTAAAATCCCTCCTCCCCCAAATAACTTATTTTATGACAAAAGGCAACCCTGGATCTAAAGACTTCGCCCTGAGTTTCTGGGGACAGACAAAGGAAAAACAAAAAATAGCCACTGGGAGATAGGAGCCATAAAAGTATTAAGGTATATAAAGAGATTAGGCTGTCACTTCAGGAGACATTTCAATGGCGAAAGGTCGTTATTCCTTGATTAAAAGATCCCATCTCTACTCAGTATTGGACCAGAAGCGTGCAAAGCAGGTAGACAACCTCTTCCAGGTAAACCTGGTACTGGCCTTGGTCCCTCAGTAACCAACACCTTTTCTAAAGCCAAGATTTAGGAAGGCCACGCCCCAAGAACATAGCTTCGATCCTAATCTCTCCTCATCCCAGTGGCAGAATAAGGCACTTGGCAGTTTCTCACAACCCATTCTTGGCAAATTGTGACTGAGGGTTTTCAGGACCAAGTGTAAGAACCCCTAAGATGGGGAAAGGGACCATTTCCATTTGCGCTCCGCCAGCACAACCTTAGAGAATGCACCCCATCAGCGCGCTCCTTATTCCAAGCCGAACCGCGCGGGGTGGGGAGTGGGGGGGATTCAGGCAACCACGCCCCCACCACATAGGGCAGCCCCTTCCAGCTGCCATCTCCGCGCATGCTCCGGCGCCTCTGCTCCAGTTCCCCAGACTCACGGGGGGAGGGGGGGGATTCCCGGGGCTGGATCCCCACCCACCGCCCCCTGACCCTCGCCCCCGCGTCAGGCCCAGCTGGGGCGGAGCTCACAGTCCAGCTCTGCCGCCTTCTCCCAAGAGACACTAGCCCAGCCCAGACCCGCTGAGCCCCCGCCCCCGGCATGCGGCAGCTCTGGGCCCATCTGTGTTGACCCTCTCCTCTCCTGGACACCTGGAGCCCGCCCCCTGCCACCTGCCGAGCCTCTTCTTAGGCCTCCTGGGACCTCCGGGAGTCCTTACGTGCGACCAGGCCCTTCTCCCCGATGACTTCCCACCCCCAGGAGTGCATAGAGCCTCCTTTGATAAACGGCCCCATCTCAAAGATCCCTTCGCAAGGTTTCCCCCGGAACTGCACACAGCCCCCTTCAAACTGGGCCCCCCATCCCACAAGAGCCCCTCTCCTTACTCAGGAAACCTTCCCTCACTCGGAAATCCTGCTCTTTATGCGCGAGTCCCCGAGTCCTTTGGAGCACGCACCGTCCCCCCCTTCCAGGGGGCCCTTACCTGCTCCCGAGGGTCCCGCTTCCATCCCATATACCCGTGCGGAGGTCAGGCGGCCCGGAGACTGTGGAGTCCAGTGTGAGGGCCCTAGGTACCCCGCACTCTAGCTGCTCGGGCTCCCGGGCCGGGCT